GTAGCTTGAAGTCTACTGACTCCGCTATCACCTGGGGCAAGAGAAACTGCGACCCATCACCCAAGCTACCTCTCCACAGCGCCCACATCCTACCTCCAAGTTGGAGGAGTGCTGTAGGAGATGGCTCAAGGTCAGGCAGCGATAGGTCCTGCTACTTGGGGAGCACATATTTCCTTCCATGGAGTTTTATCTTCCCCTTTATCACACTACACTTTCTTTTCTCTCTGTCCCCCATACCATTGTGTCCTTCTGGAAACTCTCAGTGTATCCCAGATGGCAACATGCACACAGAGGGTGCTTGTGTTGGTCTAGGCCCTCTGAGAAGACAGGGACAGATGCATAAGAGATTTATTGAGGGAAAATGGGGAAAGAGCTGAGGAGGACTGGGAGAACATTTGGACTGCGATGCTATCTGTGTAGGAGAAAGGGAAGTAAGATTTTGTGGGAAGAGTCTCAGACTATACCCCAGTAACTAGGAAGTTTTGTAATGCCAATGGGGAGCATTGGAGCCAGTTGGGCCACTGATGGGCCTTGCCTCTTGCAGGAAAGGACTTGCCCTCTATGCCTGCTGTGCTCAGTGCTTGGTGGGGAACAGCTTGAGGGAAGGTAGTCCTCTCAGCAAAACTCTGCTGCATTCAGAGCATAGCAGCTGGGGTTGTCTTTAATTAAGCTCCTCAAGGCTCCCTGGTGCCTGAAAATGTTAGTCTGTCTTACTCTTCATCCAAACATCTGCATGATTATAGAGAGATGCTGAGTTTATAACTTGTAACAATTTTATTAATAGCAATAATAGTAGTATTTACCATTTAGCCATAAAAAGCTCTTTCATGTACCAGGCGCTGCACTAAATAATTTACTTGCATCCTATCATTTAATCATTAAAACAATCCTATGAATTAGCTATGATCATTAGCCCATTTTAGAGATGGGGATTGTTGTATACTGAACTGTGTTCCCCCGATATTCACATGTTGAAGTCCTAACCCCCAGTGCCTCAGAATATGACTGTATTTGGAGATAGGTTCTTTAAAGAAGTAATTGAAAGATACAGAGAGAGAGAGACTAGGAAGAGACTGACTCTTAACTACAGAGAACAAATTGATGGTTGCCAGAGGGTAGGAGGGTAGGGGGATGGGTGAAATAGGTGATGGGGATTAAAGAGTACACTTACGATGGATGAGCACTGGGTGATGTATAGAGTTGTTGAATCACTATATTATACACCTGAAACTAATATAACACCATATGTTAACTATAGTGGAATTAAAATTAAAAGTTAAATAAAGAAAATAAAGGAATGCTGAGATTTAAACAAAAAAATAAAAGAATGTAGAAATTAATCAAATAAACAAACGAAAGAGATAATTAAATTAAAATGTGGTCTTCAGGGTGGGTCCTAATCCAAATGACTGGTGTTATTATAAAAAGAGGAAATCTGGACACAGAGATATGCAGAGGGAAGGTAATGTAAAGGCAGCCATCTTTTAAAAAATTTTTCTTTATTTAAATTAAATTAATTAACATATAGCATATTATTATTTTCAGAGGTAGATTTCAGTGGTTCATCTGCCTTATATAACACCCAGTGCTCATTACATCACATGCCCTCCTTAATGGCCATCATCCCGTTACCCCATCTCCTCACTGCCCTCCCCTCCAGCAACCCTCAGTTTATTTCCTATAGTTAAGAGTCTTTCATGGTTTTGGCCATTTACAGGTCAAAGAGAGAGGCCTCAGAAAGAACCCATCTTGCCAACAGCTTGATCTTGGACTCCTGGCCTCCTGAACTGTCAAAAAGTAAAGTTCCATTGTTTGAGCCACTCAGTGTGTGGTACTTCATTATGGCAGCCCTGCAAGCTAATACCAGCATATTGTGGCTTCAGGTGGTTGAGTGGCTTGGCAAAAGTCATAGAGCTAGCACGCAGGAAAAATAGCACTCAGATTCTCACATTCCAGAGTCTATTCTCTTAAATATTTTCCTCTACTGGGTTGTCCATGGTGGCTGGGGCAAGGGCAAGAATGCAGATGACAAGGTGATGGGAAGCTCACAGAGATAGAACACAGCCTGGTGAGCCAGGAAACACATGTGAAAGGGAATTGGCCGACCTGATAACCAGGAGAAAGTCTTCCCACCTTGCCTATATCCTCTTCTGGCTCTGTGGTCTTGGCCAATCCACTCTTGCTTTCTGTACTACAGTTATATTTGTGCCAAATGGAAATATTAGGTTTCCTATATCTCACTGAGCTGTTTTAACCATAATGAGGTCACTATATGAAATGGGGAGAAAGAACTGAATTTGCTTTATACCAATATTAGTGTAGTTGTTGCATATTATCCCTGTTTTAGCTAATACTACTGGTACCATTGTAATGGGGTGTCAACATTAGAGCAACAGTTTTCCATGGGATACAAATTATATATGTTCTGATGCCAGAAATTCATGGAGATCACCAGGACCACTCATTATAAATAGTCCTGTGATTCAAATGATTCTTGGACATCAATTTAATGACAATACATGGCATCAATGCTCAGTCTAACAGAATGAACTCATTAAATGATTGTGGGGATTAATGTAATAAAAGTAGCTGATATACATTGAGTTTTCATGTGTGTTAGGTTCTGTTCTAAGTGGTCTAAATATAATAATCCACTTATGATAATCCTGGGAAGAACCCCATGAAGAAGAAACTACTTTTATGATTCCTAGGTTACAGATGAAGAAACAGAAGCCCAGAGAGGTTAACTAGGCCAAAGTCACACAGCTAAGTAAGTGGAAGAGTAAACATTCAAACTAAGTCACACTGGCTCCTAGTTTGGGTATAGAGTGGAGAAGAAATCAAGCATCCAGGATGACTTCAAGATTTTTACCTGAGCAGCCAGAGGAACAAAATTATCATTACTTGGGATGGGAAAGATCTTAGAAATTATTTTTTTTTAAGGGAAACTCAATTTGGATATGTTAAATTTGAGATGCTGATTGTGTGTCCAAGGAGATATCAAATAAGTCTCTTTATGAAAATTGGGATCTGTATCTAAAGCCCACAGATGGAATAAGATCACTTACAGAGTGTAGATAGAAAAGAAAAGAGATCTGTGAGCTGAGTCTTGGGCATCCCAGTGTTTACAGATCAGGGAAGTAGGGAATCGGTTTAAAAGACAAAACAGAAAGAGTGGTCAGAGAATTAAGAGGAAGAGCACATGAGTGTGGTTTCTTGAGAGAAAATGAAGAAATGGTGATCAGTTGTGTTAAGTGCTGATAGGCTGATTACTTGAGGACCTAAAATGACCATTGGATTGAGCCAAAGTCTCAACAGAAGGCATTGATGACCTTAAGAAGAGCAATTTTGGTGGACAGGCTGGGGGATACCTGGTTGGAATGGGTCCAAGAGAGAATGGGTGGCGGGGAATTGAAGAAAGAGTCTTCCACTTTTTTTAAAAAAAGAAGATGAAAATGGGGGTAGCTGGAGGAGAACGATGTGGGAGAAATAAGAACATATTTGTTGATAATAAGAATGATCTAGCAGAGAGGCGAGAATAATTGATGAATTATGGGAGTGGGAATTTCTGGAATAATATCCTTGAGTAGGTGAGAGGAGGTGAAATCTGGTGCCCAGGGAGAGAGGTTGGTTTTGGGTAGCAGCATGGACAATTACCAAAGAAAATGTAGAATGCATCAGCATAAATGCAAATGGGTAGCTAGGTACGTTGAGAAGTTGCTGAAGTTCTCTTCTGGTTATTTCAGCGTGCTCATCCATTTATTAAGCTCCCATTCTGAGCTCAGTTAAAATTGAAAGCTCCTTCCCTGGCTTTATCATTGCTCTCACTTTGAATTCAACAAAACCTGACTAATCCAGTAATTATGGCTCCTTGACTTTCTTCCTCACCAGCTAAGACCTGAAGGAGGGCAGAGAACATGTCACATACTTTATTGCTCCCCAACGCTTGGCATAGTGCCTGACATACAACATGCACTCAATAAATATTTGATGAATTGAATTGAATCTAGTATATTTATTTCTCTATACATATACTTTAAATCTGATTTTGCTTGAGTCTTAAAAACTACCAAGATCATAGTCTCTGTGGATTGGTGGGCAGATTATTTGTATCTCAATCCATTCTGCTAATCATTGTATTAGCTATTTATTATTGAATTCAATATTCATGAAAACTTAAAAGCTTTGCTCATTTTTACAAAAGTTTGGACCTTAGTTGGGCCATAGCAACATCCTCAGAAGGGTTATAATATGTGAGAAGATGCAAATAGCTCCTTTGATAATTGACAGTGTTCAGTTTGCCCAATTCCCTTTTATTTTTTAAATAAAAGGGTGAATTCGCTGTAATTGACACACCATAATCTGAACCTGTAGAAGTCAGTGAGAAATCCTAGAAAGAACCACCTAGAAAGAAAGGATGTACAACCAACTGGCTATGTGCTGTGGTAGAAAATGTGCCTCCCTACCTCCACCTAACATTTTATTAAGGTTTAGATAAAGAGGAAGAAAAGAATCTGCAATTGGATTGATTTCCTACTGTTCATCTTTTTAGCAAGCTTTAGGTGACACTAAAATCAAGAAGTGTAATAGTTAGCTAGGTCATACAATGTGAACAAAGTCTGTCAATACTTTTCCAGCAGGAAATTCAGTGAAGTGTATTGTCGAGGACACAGACTTGGACTTGGATTTGCATCCCACCTCATACAAGACCTAGTTTCCTGACCTGTATAATAGAAAGAGAACACAATCGATGTTATGGAGTAGTTGTGAGCTTTAAATGACCTAATGCCTATAAAAGTGTAATACAACCCCCAGAAGACCAGTAATGTTAGTCACTATTATTTATTTTCATGACAATAACAACTTTCAAAAAGGCAGGCTGCAACCTACTTTGGGTTTCCCTTTTACTTCTTTGGTTGACCTTTTCTCTTTGCCTAGTATACTTCCTTTTTTTCTCTAATCCTGGCCTTTCTTCTCTGACCATTTTTCTTCCACTATAGAAAAATCGATGGGACCAACGAGGAAGAAGATAACACTGAGTTGAATGAAGAAGGAAGGCCAGTGCGGACTTCCAGGCGGACGTCCCCGCTCTGCAACTGCCACTGCTGTGGCCTCCCCAAGCGTTACATCATTGCCATCATGAGTGGGCTGGGATTCTGCATTTCCTTTGGGATTCGGTGCAATCTAGGAGTAGCCATTGTGGAAATGGTCAACAACAGCACTGTCTATGTCGACGGAAAACCAGAAATTCAGGTCAGTGTCTGTGTTTGGTGGGGGCTGTGCAAATACTTGGCTATAGGAAAGAAAGCACTGCCCCTCTTCCATTGATGTGACAAAAAGGTAGAATGGCTACCATGTGCCAGGCACTGTGCAAGGTGGAGGAGAGAGAATGATGAGCAGCACGGGCTGGGCCCTTATCACCATAGAGATGTACAAGTAAGTCAGCATAATTCACAGTGGTAGTGCTATGTTGGAGGTGTTCAGAATGCTTGGGGTCACATCAGAGGATGCTGGGCCAGACTTGGATATCAGGAAAGAATTCCCACAGAAAGTGATGGCTGGTTCTGAAAGATAAGGAGGAACTGACAGACAAAAGGTGTTTCCTTGAGGTGGGAAGAAGAGCGTTTGAAGAGAAAGGAACATCTTGTGATAAAGACTGTAGGAGAGAAGGGGAGGGAGGCAGAGAGGAGGAAAGAGAGAGAGAGAGAGAGAGAGAGAAGGAGGGAGAGAGACGGGGAGAGAGAGAAAATGATGTTATTTAGGAACTGAGATAGGAGTTCATCTTTTCTGAGCCATGGACCCATTTGGCAATCTGCTGTAGACTTATGAATCCTTTGTCAAAATAATGTTTTAAATTCTTTCAATAAAATGCATGGGATTATAAATGAAACTAATTATATTGAAATACATATATCAAATTATTGAAAAATAAGGTTAATGATATAGAAACATATGGGCTTCTTTATGAACCCATCAGATGACAAAATTTAACAATGGGTCTAAAATTACTGTACCTTTGGTGTGCCTGGGTGGCTCAGTCAGTTACCTATCTGCCTTCCCCTCAGGTCATGATCCCAGGGTCCTGAGATCTAGTCCTACATCACGGTCCTTGCACAGAGGGGAGCCTGCTTTTCCGTTTGCCTGCCACTTCCCCCTGCTGGTGCTCTCTGCCTCCCCCAACAAATAAATAAATAAAATCTTTTAAACAGTGAAATAAAATTACTGTAAGTTTGAAGTTTGCAGTATAAACCATAGTTTAAGATAGTGGTGACAACTGTCATATGAACAGATTTATAATTTCCACTAGTGATGGAGTCACAGGTACTGATACTACTACTGTGGTTTTTTGCCCACATTCATAATCACAGGAAATGCTAAATTTCAGCTACCAGTTAGTGAAAATAAAAATGCCGAATTTTCCCACCAAAGTTCACAGGTCCGCGACTTCTATCTTTGGATTAAACGCTGAGAACCCTTGTAGGAGAGTAGAGCATGGCAAGCATCAAGACAGGGGGACACCAGGGTAAATAGGGGTTAGGCCAGGTAACGACTGGAAAGCCATGTAGGGAGTCATGGGTGGGCTTTGTGTAGGGCCCACTGTATCCACCCAGGGGTCTCCCAGTGGACTGGGATTGGAGTGAGTAGAAGCAGGAAGCCCAGTTCAAAGGCAGTTGTAGTCACAAGCAAGCATACTCTGATGTGACTTAAGAGCATTGAGGAGTGTGCACGAATGCAACTAACGAATCATTGAATATTACATCAAAAACCAATGATATACTATCTGTTGGCTAATTAAATTTATATTAGAAAAAAGCATTGTTTTTATGAATCACTGGAAAGATGAAATCTGGCTTGCTTCTTACATAGTAGACCTAGAGAAGTATTGAGGCAATGGGGAAACCCCCCCCACTAAAAATGTATGCCTAGTGCATGCATGTCTCATTGTATTGAACATACGCCTGGGAATGACTTGTGTGGAGGTATACCAGTTCGCAGAGAGGCACCTAGGTCTCTGGTCCCCACGCATATGTGGAGAAACACTGACATCAGAGTTTCCCCACTGCTGTTTGGTCTCTGTCTATAGACTGTGCCAGGAAGAAGGTGTCATATGAAATGGCAGCTTTTATTGTACTGTGTCCTGTGTGAGTCTCCAAGAGGGGGCTGTGGTGTGCATTATTTCCCGGACTTTATTGTCGAACACCCTCTTTCATGCCACAGCTATTAGCATTACCTGGAACAGTTCCTGCTAAGCGCTGGTTTGGGAAAGTTTGATTCTTATCCACTAAAAAGAAGTCGTTAGTTGGCCCTGCAGGCTTTTTTTTTTTTTTTTTCTTTTAGCTAAGAGATTTTTCTGCCAGATGAAAAGAGAACAATGGAGAGTCTGCTAGCCTCTTTCTGATGCCGCAGCTGAATTTGTTCTCAAAGGATATGCTAGTTGTTTATTTTTTTGGTTTGGAGGGAGGGCAGGAGAGGTATGATGGGGCAAGCCATGCATTTTTTTAAATAAAGAGTGATGTATATTAGTGAGATTTCAGATGTGTATCACATGCATTCTCCCAGCCTTTTGTGAGCAGGGCCAGCTAATTAAAACTTGTCTGCTGAGGCCCAGATCAAAATGAGATGCTGGTTTGTGTTTGTTTGTTGCCTGGAAAGATAGGCCTACGTCAACAGAGTCTGCTTGGAGGCATATGGAAAAGAAATTTTTGATAAATCTAAGGAACAATGCTAGTGTGTGCTCTCTGGTTTCTGTAGTTTTCCCTTTGGAGTCTTAGAGAAACTGATTGAGATCTAAAATATGCTTTGCATAATTTCTTCTGGTCTCAAAAATAGGAGTTGGGGAGCATTTCGGAAGCTCTAGGACAACTCCAATTTATAGCAGGCCATTTCTCTCTGACTCAAATAGAACAAAGCTTACATGTCAGCTGAACATGTTCAACCTGATGACAAAGATTTTACTGGTATTTTTGTTTATTTGGTTTTTCATTTTATGGGAGTGGGGAACTACATATTTTTCACTGAGATATTTTGAAGTCCTCATTTTCAAAAGAGGAGAGAAGTAAGCAGTATGAGTATGTAGGTCTTGCAAATATTTAGGTTATACTGTACTAGTGGTATACAGGGTAATTTTAGCTGATGTGTGAATACTCACTTTTCATTTAATAATGAATTTTAAAACACGTGAATCACTTAGAATAGCATCTGACATATGGCAAGCAATAAATGAGTTATGTTTGAGAAACTTTGTGATTATCTCTTTTTACCTTCAGGAAAAGTCCAAACTCCTTCCCATGAATCATGAGTCCTGTAGAGTTAAGAGCCTGGGCTTTCGAATTGGCCAGACTTGGTTTCACACTTGACTTCTTTTGTTTATTAACTCTGGGACCTTGAACAGGTTGTCCTTATGTCCTGGTCAGGGATTGCTGGTTGCAAGGAATAGAAATGCAGTGAAACCAGGTCAAGTTAAAAAGGGAATTATGCGGGACACCTGGGTGGCTCAGTCGGTCAAGCCACTGCCTTTGGGCTCAGGTCATGATCCCAGGGTCCTAGGATCAAGTCCCACATCGGGTTCCTACCTTGGCAGGGAGCCCGCTTCTCTCTCTGCCTCTGCCTGCCGCTCTGCCTGCTTGTGTGCTCACGCACTCTCTCTCTCTCTCTCTCTGACAAACAAACAAATAAATAAATAAATAAAATCTTTAAAAAAAAGAAAGAAATTATTAAAAAAAGAAAAAAGGAATTATGCTAGGGTTGTATGGGATCTCATGAGAGTGAAGGGCAGAAAGCAGGTCTGATGTGTGTATTTGTGCAGTCCGTGCCCTGGACAGTGGGAAGCCCAGCCTGTGGCGGGACTGAAATCCTGGCTGTACTCCATGAGGGGCAGAAAATGAGTCTTTACCTAATTCTTTCCAGGGCATAAACAGAGGCTCTGCCAGGAAGGGCAGAGTGGAGCTGGCCCTCCTGGGAACGAGGAAATCCTTAGCTAAGGTCTCCAGCTTGCCTGTTCCATACAGTGCCTCATCTGCTTCTCTCTGAGTATGTCCACTGTCCTAGGTCTCTCCATGGACTCTTTTCTTTTCCATCATTTCACATGTCCGTCCTCCATAGTGAAGTGTCTTGCTCAGGAACTGACTTACTTGGCCTTGAAACTAAAACTAAACTCAGAGTTTCAGTTCAGGTGTTCAGTCTTGTCTAAGTACAATTTCTGGGTTCAGATTGGAGAGAGAGACACACATACATGGGGCCATTATGATTCTAATAGGGCTCAAGTGATGATGAAAGTCAGTTCTCAGCAGGCCCAAGTGCTGTTTGACATGTATGATCTCCTTCAGAGAATACCTGGAAACACGGTCCCTCAGAGAGGAAAGTATGAGCAGGAGATATTGTGATTGGTAATTAGCCTTTGGAAGAAGTGAATCCCTCTGCCTTGGATCTTTGGCTCCTTGGCTCATTCTGTGATTCAAGGCAAAGATATCTAATCTCTCTTTCTTAGTAAGAAAGTCAAGTTCTACAAACAGTGCAAAGAATGTAGTTTTTTGGGTCAAGCCAATAAAAGAACATGATCTTGGCTCTCCTTGTAACTAGTTGTATGACTTTGGGCAAGTCAGTTAGTCTCTCCAAGCCTTATTTTCCTCATCTACAAAAGAAGAGCCAAGAATTACCTCTAGGTGTTGTAAGAATTAAGGGAGGGAATACATGGACAGTGCCTTAATAAAATTATGTCCCTCTTTTGCTCCAAGCTTCTAATGGTTTCCATCTCTCTTTGATTAAAAGCCAAGGTCCTTTTGGTGATTTCAAGGGTCTCTCATCATTTGAACCTCTCTTACTTTAACTCTTATTCTTGTGTCCTTCACTCATTACCTCCCAGGTATCCTGACATCTTGCTGTTCCTCTAACCTCAGGGCCTTTGCACTTGCTATTTTTCTGCCTTGAAAGTTCTCTCAGATAATTATTTGCTCCCTTCTTTCCCTTAGAGCTTTACTCAAAAATCACCTCCTCAACGAAGCCTTCCCTCTCTATCTAAAATTGTGCTCTACCTCACTCCTATCCAGCACTTCCTGTCCCCCTCCCTGCTTTATTTTTTCTCCTCAACCCTGATCACCATCTAACACAGGCTGTACTTATTTATTTGTTAACTAGCTACTGTCCCTACTGGCATCTTTTTGAAGATAGCAATTACTCTTGTTCTGTTCACTGTTGTATCCCCAGGGCCTAGTACAATGTGTGGCACATAGTAGCAGAGAGTAAAAATTTGGTGAGCTGATTTGAATAATGATGGTTAGTTTCATTTTACTCTCTCTCATTTTCTTTTTCTTTCTTTCTTTTTTTTTTTTTTTGAGTAATAGCTACCTAACATGGGACTTGAACTCATGACCCTGAGATCAAGTGTCACATGCTCTACCAACTGAGCCAGCCAGGCACCCCAGTTTCATTTTACTTTTTTTTTTTTTTTAAGATTTTATTTATTTACTTGACACACAGAGAGAGAGAGCACAGGCAGGGGAAGCTGGAGAGGGAGAAGCAAGTTCCCCTTGAGCAGTGAGCCTGATGCGGGGCTCTATCCCAGAACACTGTGATCAAACCCTGAGCCAGAGGCAGATGCTCAGCCAAATGAGCCAGCCAGGAACCCCAGTTTCATTTTACACTTAAATTTCAATTTCCTAATTGGTAAAATGGGAAATACGGTATGGAGGACAGGCCAGTGTTACATGGACTGTGATCTCCTAGAACATGAAGGCAATTCTTGTTTGAGTTAGTATTTGCACTGTCTAGCATCTGACCTGGCACACAGGAGGCACTAGGTGAATGTTGAATAAATGAGCAAATAAATACGTAACAATTTGTGATGGGAAAATAAACCGACAGAACTTGATAAGGCATAATATGTTGATAATTAAGAACCTTTCCTCCATAACAGGAACACCTTCCATTTTGATATGATTGCTTTTTAAAAAAGATTTTATTTTTAATGGACTGTGTCATATAGACTTATTTTTAATGGACTATGTTAATATAGTCCAGTACCATACAGGTTTTTCCATGTGAGTAGTAGGGGCTTGCCTCTAGATTGCAAGATGTCTTTAATGCCCTTGAAATTCTGTAGTAGATATTTGAGCAATAAGCATTCAAGTCAGACCAAGCCGCCTCAAGGAGCAGTTGAATTCTCTGGTACTAAAGGTGTTCAAGCAGAATCTCTACACCCAATGTGGGGCTCGAGCTTACAACCCTGAGATCAAGAGGAGCAGTTCTAGGGACTGAGCCAGCCAGGTGCCCCCAATCCTTTACAAAGCCATTCATGTATTCCTTCATTTGGCAAATATTTACTTGCACCTTCTATGTTCCAGAAATTTATTTTAGGTACTCAGGTTATAAAGCTAAAGGGACATGGCTATTCCCTTAGAGTTGCTAGCCACCAGTGTGAGAAATGGACATGTGAATGGCTAGTTCAAGAACAGCACCCAGCAGGGGCCATGGCTGTAAGGACAGAGGTCTGTGGGACAAGTGCAGGAAAAGGTGATCACTTCAAAAGGGAGCTGGGGAGCTTCCTCAGAGGAAGGAACATTTGCAAGGAGTCTGAAAAGAATGAGTAACTTTTGGAAGAAAGGGAGGAAAGGGGGCCTAGCCCTGGAGAATCACATTTTCAATGGCTTAAGTGTTGTGTCATTATTAAGTGTGTGTATATATATATATATATATATATATATATATATATATGGATCTACTACATACATATATATGTATTTAAGTTTGTACATAATCTCTCCTTGCTCTCACTAGAAGACAAGCTCAATGACAGCAGGGACTTTGTTGTATTTGTTGCTACATCCCAAGCATACAAGAGCCCTCCACAAATATTTTTTTTTAAAGATTTTGTTTATTTATTTGACAGAGAGAGAGAGAGAGATCAAAAGTAGGCAGAGAGGCAAGCAGAGAGAGCGAGAGGGAGAAGCAGGATTCCCACTGAGCAGAGAGCCCAATGCAGGGCTTGATCCCAGGACCCTGAGACCGTGACCGGGGCTGAAGGCAGAGCCTTAACCTACTGAGCCACCCAGGTGCCCCCACAAATATTTGTTGAATAAAGGAAGGAAAGAAGGACCTGGTGGATTGTTATGTAGGATCATTGGTGAAAAATGGTTGTCAAGTGTTTTCTTACAAACACAACCATATCTGATTTCTCATTTCAGACAGCACAATTTAACTGGGATCCAGAGACAGTGGGCCTTATCCATGGATCTTTCTTCTGGGGTTATATTGTGACACAAATTCCAGGTGGTTTCATTTCAAATAAGTTTGCTGCTAACAGGTAAGGCAAACTGAAATAACACGAATGAGGTACACATCATAACATGATTTTGTGTTTTTATAAAATCTGCATAGTTTGCTCTCAATTTAGAGATGCAGAAGGAAAGACAGGAGCCATTCCAACAGATGTGATTCGCAGATATTGATGTGATTCTGTTCTTAAGCGTCTCTTGTTATTTACTTTTTTGTCTAACTTAATTTATCTTGCAACTCTTTTAGTGATTATGTAGTAAAAAGAGCAGTTGAATCTGAATCAGAAGAAATGTTCCTTGACACTAAATAACTCAACTTGGTGACCTCTAGAATCACTCTTTTTTTTTTTTTTTTTTTTGCTTTTCTGGATCTTTTTCCTCATCTGTGAAATAAAGTATGGTTTAGATTGTGTTTGAGTTTCCTTTGACAAGTGACATTCTGTGATCCTATGTACTATATTAAAATAGCTCAGTACCATATAGATTTTGTCATGTGAGTAGTAGGGGCTTGCCTCTAGGTTGCAAGATGTCTTTAATGACCTTGAAATTCTATCGTAGGTGTTTGAGCAATTAAAACTACCCAAGACAGAATGAGCTGCCTCAAGGAGCAGTAGAGTTCTCTGTCACTACAGGCATTCAAGCCAAAGAAGACGGCCTCTTGGAGGATACATAGGGTGTATATGTAGCTGCACAGAGGTTTACTAAATGTCTCAAGTTTCCTTCCAATTGTATGTCCTGTGTCACAGTACATGTATGGATTTCATGAACCATACGTTTTATAAAGCAGTTTCTCAAACTCTAAAACATAACTCATTAGATGGTAATGAAATCAACATGTGATTTACCAATGAGCATTTTCTAAAAAAGGACAGAAAAATAGAAAAGAGGAAAAGCAAATAGAATAAAATAGAATAGAAAATATCTTAATTCATTGCACACTTAAGTATTGGTTCTTGAAATTTGTTTTGGTTACATTTGTGAGTATGATTATGTTTTGAGTTGCAATATAAAATATATTTTGTTTTATGGGTTAAGGTAAAAAAAGAAAGTCAATACCATAAGATCTAAATATGTACAAGCATGACTTTATTTACTTACATTCTGGTCTAATTTGTGTCCTTCATTTATTATCACTTATCTATTGTATTCTTTTCAAAAAGCGATAAAATACTGGCTCATATGATCTCAGGGGTTACTGCTTATACTTCTGCCATAAAAGGAAATCACGCATATTTCTAACATGTTAAAAGGGCTGAAGCATCATTAATGTGTGAGAAAAGAAGAAAATGCTGCTTGCTCTCTTTTCCCAGGATACTCTGGCCCAGGCAGGGAGAAGGCATGGGGGACTGGGCAGCAGGCTGGGGGCTCAGACAGGTACACAGCCCGTTTTGTGCTTGGCTTGTCCCAGGATACAGACTGCTTTCTGATAGTATGGCCTTTTGGTAAAGTGACAATAAAATTGTGAAGCAGGAGACACAATCCAAATGTGTCAATGTCATGTGGTAATAGAACGAGTCAGTTTGGTAGAAGCAAGCAGAATGGTGCATCTCTAGCAAGCTCACCTCGTGTTGGTCAATCTCCAGCTATAGGACCTCATTTAGGAAGGATATTCCCATATTGCCAACAACCTGCCTGTAATGGATCCAGGGATGAGCTCAGGATTCATAGCTGCCCAGCAGTCTAGCTTGGGATACACCAGATCCTAACACAATATCTATTTCTCTTTTTATTAATTTCCATGGTGATTTTCCATGAATGGTGAGGTTCATTCCTGATGTCTGACTGAAGCACCATATCCACAAGTGTGCTTGCCCCCTAACACAGTGTTTTGGTCCCTCAGGGTCTTTGGAGCCGCCATCTTCTTAACATCAACCTTGAACATGTTCATCCCTTCAGCGGCCAGAGTGCATTATGGCTGTGTCATGTGTGTCAGAATCTTGCAAGGTCTAGTGGAGGTAGGAGATTCTTTCCTTAATGGTTTTTGCTACTGCTAGTTAAAGTATGGACCTTTAGATAATTCAGCTTCTAAAGAAAACTGTTTTACTGAGTTTTCTGGTCTTCTACCTTGTCCTGCTATTTCCACTCTTCAGTTTTAACTACTGTCACGAATGCTTTAATTAGAATGCCTGTGTGATTACAAACGTATACACAATAAAGGACCGTTTCATAGAGTGCAGAATTTCACATGAGGAGACAGGAATGATCTTAGAGGCAATCTAATCCAACCCCTGTCATTTAATGAATGATGAAACTGAAGCCCAAATATGATAGTTCACATAGCAGTGGCCCTTTCCACTAAAACAATTTAAATGGATTTATTAATAAATCTGTAAATTTCCAGGATGTAGTGTTACACAGAGATTTAACTCAGGGACCTGTTGAATCATTATATTGTACACCTAACCTAATATAACACTGTATATTAACTACACTGGAATTTAAAAAATTAATAAGAAAATAAAAATGTGAGTCTAGAAAAAAAATGTAAAAACCAGTACTTCCTCAAGAGTAGTACAAAAACAGATGGTGAGCTAAATCAGGCAATAGTTTCCTGAGCCCTGATTTAGAGCAGCGTTTCCCAAGCTCAGTCATTCACCTCTAACCTCCTTTGCTTCTGTCATATCTATGTACAATTTGTACTATTATTTACCTACAGTTTTTCCCTAGATCAATTCATTAAAACACACACACACACACACACATACAAGAATCTTATCACAAGCAACAATATCTTTGAAATCATGGGTTTCATGCATCAGTTACATTGTTTCTTAAAGCCTATTAGAATATATATACACCAGTAATGGAAAAAAAATGTCATTTGTTGTAGCAACTCAAATCCAACTCTAGTTCCACTAGAGGGACATATACCAGACTTTGGAAAATAACTGATGGGTGGAAAGAACTTGCTATTAACAGCCATGAAGACTAGAATGTAGTCACTTCATGGCTCTTGGCCTCAGGTTCTGTATCTTGAGGGGATGGACCAGCTGATTGCAGAAATCTCTTTCTACACCAATATTCTATAGTAATATGAAATATAAAGACTCCTTCCCCATTCCCCACCATCCTTGCATTGGAACTGATATTCAAATTGAAGCATCTGTGCTATGAGTTAAAATAGCTGACACAAGCTACTTGGTATTCATGATTTAGGTTTTATCTTGTAGCCTCTCTTAAAGAAGCAGGGTCCATGTTTCAAACACAAACAGAAACTGGAGTCAAATCAATAATCTATTTTCAACTGTTTTGCCAGGGTGTGACCTACCCAGCCTGCCATGGGATGTGGAGTAAGTGGGCACCACCTTTGGAGAGAAGCCGACTGGCTACAACCTCTTTTTGTGGTCAGTGTATTAGAATCTTAAGTTTTACTTAGGAATGCTTTGTCTTTAAGTGAAGACCCTACTATGTAGGATTTATTTTTTTTTTTGCATAACAGAAGTCCAAAGGTGAGTGATTGCTGGTGCTGGTTTCACTGCTCAGTCATCCATCAGGGCCTGACCATGCTCTGATTTTCTATTCTGCTGTCCTTGAAGTGATAGCTCTTTACTCTCCCACTTGTTCCTCTGGTTCACAAGAGGGTTGTTATAGCTCCAGGCATCAAGCCCACATTCCAGGCAGGAAGAAGTGGAAATGGTTGTCCTAGCCACATCTGTTCCTTTTATCAGCAAAGCACATGCTTTCCAGAAGCCCCTTATGAGGCTTCCACATATTTCCTTGGCCCTAATTGTGTCAGATTCTTTAGCAACTGCAGAAACAGCTAAGAAACCAAGTGCTGTCCTTGCCAGCACCATAAGTAGAGAAAGGTCAGAAAGAAGGGGTTGGAAGTGGTTGTTGAATTAACCAACAAATGATATTTGCTGAGGTCAAAAGCAGAAAAGAGAGAATCATTAAGCCTTTTGCTCCTCTTCTTTTTACAGAAAGAGAAGTTGAAACTAAAGTTTGAAGTTTCATTTTATTGAATGGAATTCAAGGTCCAAGGTCACACTGGACATGGAACAGGAGCTAGACTACCTGATTCTTTTTCATTTTTAAAATTTTCTTTGTCTATTAGAGAGAGCAGGGGCAGAAGGAGAGGGAGACTCCCTGCTGAGCAGGGAGCCCCATGCGGGGCTCGATCTCAGGATCCTGGGATCATGACCTGAGCCGAAGGCGAACACTTAACCTACTGAGCCTCCCAGGCACCACTAAACCACCTGTTTCTTAATTCAGAACTTTCCTCACTACACACTACTATGTACATACTGTCATAGAGATCTTTTAATTAATTTTAACCTTTACATTCCAGATGAAAATGGAGGCCATCCGTTTTACCTGAAAGCATATTAGTGGTCCTTAAGTAATGAAGTGACTGTAAATTACTGGGTCACCAAACTTCACCTTGTTAATGTTGTCTCATTCCAAGTCATGTTTCTGGGACTGGCCCTCTATGGGTCTCTGGAATAATCAGTGTTTGAAGGGTCTCCTGGATACCAATCAATAACTTAACAAGGACAGTGGATGCTGACACCATCAGCACAGTTGTTAAACGTATTTTCCAATATTTTTTTTATGGGGAAGGGGTTCAGGAAGATAAAAGTGCCTCAGGCCATGAAAGTCACAATGGGGATTGGGTAAAATTAGGATCAGAATTTAGCTCTGCCTAGTTGTTCAAGCTAGTGTGTCTTGACTAGGAAAAACCAACCTGTATTTCTTAGGGAAAGGGAGAAATAAAGCTTCTTAATTTCTGTGAATATTTTCATTTATTTCTCCCTTGCTCTTTCTCTTTACCTCCTTGAATAATAATAATAATTATTGTTATTATAATATAGATTATTATTATTATATAGAATCCCTGGGACTTTGTTGTGAAGTATTCACCAATGTGCCCAAATTATGCCTAGCTTGGAACTGCATGCACAGTTGAGATGTCTTTGCATCTTTAGCCTCTCTTGTCCTTAGAAACCATTTCTGTCCTCTTGTTTGTAGTTAAGATCATCTCCACTTCCACTACTGACCTGTGCCAACTCTAGAAGAATATAAGATTCTGACCTTATGAATTGTCAGGTCCTTGGTCTTATTTTCTTTGGATGGTTTATTTATAAGCCTTTTCATTTTGATTCGCCAGCAAAGCAAGAATGACTAGCTGCCACACCCCACTCTTAGCATCTTTATAACCCTTCAAGGGCTGGTTTAAGAAATGTTTGACTCTCAAGGAAGGTTACCTGATCAAAGTCATAAGCTTTATTACTTTTCCCAGCTAAGGTATGGTCTTGGTTTGAAAGAACAGCCAAGTGTCATTAGAAGGAAACCCAAATTTGGGGTTAATCCATTCTTACACAAAAAAATATTGGAGTTGGCAGGTACTTTAGGAAATATCTAGTCGAGTTTTCACAGCTAGTGAGGACAGAAGTGGGGACCTGCCCACTCCTAATGGCTACTCCCTCACCCCCATGCCATTCAACAATAGTTGGAGGGCTCCTCTGTCCTCCACTGTCTGCCAACGGAGGGATCAAGGTGCTGTGAGCTCCCCAGGGCTGTCTGGATGGCATGCCCCATTGAGGTATGCTCAGGGGCTGTGAGTGTGACAGATTATAGTCAGCCATGTCTCGAAGGATGAGGAAGAGTTTTCTACTAGACAGAGAAGGACAATTTCAAGTGTAAAATTTCCCCTATGAGAGAATGCTTCCTACTATGAAGAATTAATGGGAGTTTTGGAGTGGAGGAGGCAGGACCAAATTATTAAGTAGTTAAAGATAAAGGCTCTGGATTCCTACAGACCTAGTTCCCGTCACCCACACCTGTGTGACCTCAGGAAATTTATCTGCCCTTCCCCCTCCTTGGTTTCCCCTATAAATGAGGATGATATTAGTACCAACACCAAGAGTTTGAAAGAAGGGTTAAGTAGAATCATGGCTTTGGAATCCTCAACATAGTAGTGGACACACAAAAAGCACCCAATGCCTCTTAGGTGGTGGAGTTATCCCTGGACCCTCACTGTCCTGGGCATTTCCCTACCCCTTACTTCTAGCAACTTTGGTCCAGGGAAGACCACCTTCCCCACACCCACAGCAGAGTCAGGCCTGCAGATCTTTCTAAGCAATGTGCCTTGGAATACTTGTCTTACTGGTTTGTGGAAGTCTGAGCCAAAAAAAAAAAAAAAAAAAAAAATGCATTGTCATTCTGTACATCACAGTCACTTGATAGTTGGGGTTTGTGTGGCACGGATTACAGCTTACAAAACATCTTCACACACATAGTTTATTTAATTCTCAAACATCTCTGTGAGATAGAGATGTCTTTCCCATCTTCTACCTGAGAATAATAATTCTGAGAGACTGAGAGACTCCCTCAGGTGTCATGATGTCTCAATTTAGGATTCCAGGTTGGGCCTTTCATGGCCAGTCAGGCCCAGCTTGGAAAGATGGGATTTCATCTCTTTCTGTGGAAGATCCCCAAACTCCCATTTCCTGAAGGTCTCCTAGGCATTGAAACAGAATTTCCTGTTGCTACTCACTTTCTGAGCAAGAATTTTTTCCATTCACATCCCAGAGGGAATTTGAGGGAGTAATTTTTTTGATTCAGTTAATACTGATCGGGAGTTTTTAGGGCTCATGTCTCTATAGCAGATTATCATGGATCTGTAGGGGATGGTGGAGCCTTTGGGATCTTGTCTAGACAAGATAAATAACCACATATATGTAAGTATTTATAAGGTAAATTGTTTTTACAAAGAAATAGACTTTAAAATGGGCCCATTCCAGAGGTAGGTGGAGAGAGAGCCTTCCTGTTCATTCTGCCATCCTGGAATAGAATTGTTTCCTGATTTTTAAAAAGAAATCAAGACTCTAAAAGGTATGATTTTTTACTAGTTTGAAGTCCTTATTTAAAGACAGTGGTGATAATTCTCCTCAACTGTGAGCTCTGGAAGGCAGGTTCATTTGTTCCTTTGTTTGCTATCTTCACCCCTAATATTGTACCTGGTTGAATTTTTCAAATTTCTCGTAGATTTTTTCCCCATCTTTTTGTCCTATTTTTTTCATGTGATTCGAAATTGCTGTTGCTGAGTAATCTTTGTCTTGTCCTTCCATGGTACTGGAGAAAGTTAAAGGGCATCCAGTGACCTTTCTCTCCCAGAAGCCCTATTTTAAGTCACATGGAGAGTTTGGCCCTCTGCACGGAGGCATTCTGGCTCTTGCTCAGGTGGATTCATCTTCCTTTCCACAAGAGGAACTCTAGATGGGCTAAAGAGACCCACATAGCAGTTGTCAAGTGTCCTCCGTGTTTTCTTATTCTAGGTTCCTATGCAGGGGCAGTGATTGCCATGCCTCTGGCTGGGGTGTTGGTTCAGTACATTGGATGGGCCTCTGTCTTTTATATTTATGGTGAGTAATTTGACTTCATGAGTTCCCATGGATGACTCATAGAGATGGTATTTTACTGTATCATGGGGTTGGCTAAGAATTTACTATAGGAAGATAGAAATGATTAAAACAAGCTTATCATATAAATGGAATACTTGTCTGCTTAGGATTCTTTTAATGCTTATATCAAAGTTGGGTTTATTAATGAGAACAATATCATCTTTCTTTAAATACCAGTTAACAACAACGACAGGCAGCAGCGACAGCAGCATCAGCAGTAGGGAAAGCAACAACATACTTTTTTCTAGACGAACATCATGCTATCTGGGGATATTATGACAATTGGAATATTTAGAGATGGAGGACAATGAAACCACATGATTAAACATTTTGTTTTTTACTGCAGGCATGTTTGGGATTATTTGGTACACATTTTGGCTATTGCAGGCCTATGAGTGTCCAGCTGCTCACCCAACCATATCCAGTGAGGAGAGGACCTACATAGAGACAAGTATAGGAGAAGGAGCCAACGTGGTTAGCCTCAGTGTAAGTACAGAGGGAAAGATGAAGACTGGTCTCTTTTCTACTTCTCTTAGTGATTGTGTTGTCCTCTTAAAAAAATAATATGTCAATATAACCACTAAAAATCTCATGGTGTTTTTACTCTCTAGAAATTTAACACCCCATGGAAAAGATTTTTCACATCATTGCCTGTTTATGCAATCATTGTGGCAAATTTTTGCAGAAGCTGGACTTTTTATTTGCTGTTAATAAGTCAGCCTGCTTACTTCGAAGAGGTCTTTGGATTTGCAATAAGTAAGGTAAACACAGAGATGCTTCAAATGTTCTTGAACTTTAAATTCCTTGCTCCGACTGAGAAAATCTTTGCATGACAAAATAATTAAATTACTGATCAGCATTCATAACAGTTCTATGACACCTAATACCCTAGAGGTCAGACAAGTTCTACGTTTTGGGCACGGTATATATAGCTATTAATTTCTTCTTCATAAGGATCAGAGCTATATTAAACTGCTTTTAAAGACTTATGTTCTATTCGATTTCAAAGTGGTTTCGAAGCTAAATTCAAGAACTGCATATTAGGTAAGGATAAAAAGATTTGAAGGTAAGATGTTTTTGTGGGTTTTTTCCCCCAAGTTACTCAATGAGTAGCAGACTACTCTCTCTGTAATGGCAGTTATAGCAATAACAACCATTGCCTTGTATGATTTACAAAGAACCTCTTTCAGTGTCCCCAGCCACTGTCATTAGGTTGTCTGTGTTTCAGGAAGGAAGGGTAGATGGTAAAACATAAACCATCATCATGAAAGATGCAACCTCCTTTGTACAAGGAGGAGAACAGTAGCCTAGGAGAGGTCGTTGTGTTTGTAGCTCCAGGTACTGTCTGAAATGACCTTGGAGGAGCTAGCATAGTCAAGTCATAGTGGCTCCCATCAGTGAGCACTCACTCCGCCACAAGTGTTTGTCTAGCGTGTGGGGGCACTATGGGAGGTTCTGGGGCCTCTGTGATGAATACGAGTCTTGTCTGTCCTCAAAGAGCTTCCGATCGGGTCGGAGACACAGGTCTGTACTTAAAATCATTCACTCATTCATTATTTATTACAAAATTCAGGCCCATCTGGGTCCCAGGTAATTAGATAATTAAACTCGGTCAGGGCAGGAGTGGAGGGGACCCAGAGAATTGGGGAAGTGCAACTCTCCATAGCAGCTAAAAATAGCTCATTTCTTCTTTTTATTCCAGGTGGGTCTCCTGTCAGCAGTTCCCCACATGGTTATGACCATCATTGTGCCTATTGGAGGACAATTGGCTGATTATTTGAGAAGCAGGAAAATTTTGACCACAACGGCTGTCAGAAAAATCATGAACTGTGGAGGTACTATGGACTTCATGGGTGGCTTCAGCAGCCTTTACAGAATGAGATGAAACTGAGCTGCAGAGCATATCCTGGAAGTTATATCTACCCATTAAAAAGGATCTTGGGGTGCCTGGGGTGGCTCATTTGGTTGGGAAGCCAACTCTTGATTTCAGCTCAGGTCATGATCTCAGGGTTGTGAGATCAAGCCCTGTGTTGGGATCCATGTCAGTGGAGAGTCTGGTTCTCTCCCTCTCTCTCAAATAAATAAATCTTAAAAAAAAAAAAAGAAAAGAAAGAAAGGAAGGAAGGAAGGAACAAAGGATCTTAAAGTCTCCTAAGTTCATTATCTTGCAGATACTTGAGTGCCTATCATGTCCCTGCCAACTGGTCCTCCAGCCCGTGCTTGTGCAGCCTGAGATAGGACAACTTAGCTGGTAAATCAGTACACACCTCCAACTGTAGAAATGCTTCTTTTGTCTACTCTTAAGCCAAAGTGAACTGATTTCCTGTGACATACCTTTAACATTTGTCCTTCCCATACATCCTCCCAAATACATAATCCTTTGCTTATGTAGTTTATTCCCTTATCTCTTTCCCTTTCTACACATATAGCTTTTGGCAAGAAACACAAGAAAAATATTTTATCCGAATAGTCTTCTTTCCTCTCAGCTTATGCTTGTGTATGCGGTACACACACACACACACACACACACACACACACACACACACTCATCCTCTTTTCTGTATTTATTTCCCGCTTTATGTTTTGATTTGGCAAAGACAAGGAAACAGGGTGATTTTCCAAGAGGTAGGTAAAAGTAATTTGAACCCCTGCCATGTTTATGACTGCTTACCTTTTTTAAACCTTCCACTTTTTCCTTATCTCCTTTTGTTTTTGTGTTTTAAATTAGCATTTATTGGATGCTTTCTGTGTGAGACACTAAATGACATCTTCTACACACATTATCTTATTTAATCCTTATAACCATGCTGTGGTTTACAGTGAGGAAACTGGAGTAAAGAAGAGTGACTTGCTCAAGTGGCAGATGTTGTGCAAGATCCCAGGTCTGTCTGAGCTCATTGCCAATGTCCCAGTCACTGCTGCTACTCCTCCTAGGGACTGGTGGGGGTTAGGGTGGACAGGCAGGAAGTAGAGAACAGCGCCATCTATGGGTGAAAAGTTACAAGAGCTACTACATTGGAATGGAGGGAACGTGGACAGTCACTCTAGGCTAGATTAAATGGGTCAGGGCTGTTTAGAAATGAAGAGTACATAGAGATTGCACAAGGGCAGACATAATCTGGTCCCACAGTATTTCAGGTATAAAGTCTGACCAGGGAGTTTGGGAATAATGTGTTGGCATCAGGTGTCCATTGATGTGACCTTTTTTACAGAAGACTGAAGGTTGGCAGGTCTCCGGCAGGTGAGAGGTGAAGCTCTGGGGCACTGCATTTATGGTAGCTAAGGTAAACAGATTGATCCCCCCCCCCCCGAAATGTTCACGTTCTAATTCCCAGAATGTGTGCTTATGTTTCCCTACATGACAAAAGGAACTTTGCAGATGTGATCAAATTAAGGATCTTGAGATGGGGAGATAATCTTGGATTATCTTGGTGGACCCAATTTAATCACTAGGTTCTTTCTAATTTTACCCCAGTCACTTCAGCCATTGTTCTGCCATAATCGACAGTGTCAGTGTTGGGTGGTGGTGGTGGTGGTGAGAATTATCAAAGATTTTAAAGAGCTAACGAAGTGACTTGAAAATAAACCTTTTTTTGTTCCGGAAACTAGAATGCAAACATAGAATCTCCCTAGCTTCTCTCCCATCTTTAACAAACAAACAAAACAGCAACAATAAAAGCCAACCCAAACCTCCTCACATGTCTTTTCATGTCATTTTATATTTTGAAATAGCAGACCAGTGAGTTCTACATTGTATGTTTTAAAAGATGGTTGTCTTCTTTTGCTTATATGCAAAGATGCTAGACCAGAGATAAATACATGAAGAGAGAGCTTTGTGCCATCACTGAGGAAGCCAGATCAATTTGGACATAAGGAAGCATTTGCATGATCTTCTAGAGAGTTTAGTTGGTATCATGTTCTCAAAGAGGAAATACAGAGGACATTTCTCATCCTCTATCACACATTTCCTAGAGTCTGTCACCTTTTTTTCTTTTCATAGACAAGGGATGTTTGCTGCTAGAATCACTTAAAGCAAACAGATCACCTAAGACATGAAGCTCTGCTCTACTTCATTCTCAATCAGGGCACATTTCCAAGATCCTCAAAAACAGATGTCAAATCCTTGTACTTCCCTCTATAGTACATGTAAAGCGTGACTGAGGTAAAAAATTCTAGTCTGGCTGAATTGGTTGCCTGTGTGAACTTTTAGATTGTTTAATATGAAATGAACATTTTTCTCTGACCTTTAAATCCTAATTCTGTTTCTCTTGTCAGCTCTGATAGGTTCACTTTCAAGGTCTCTTTTTCACTTCTGAAGTTCAAGTTTTATCCTCAAGCTCCTGAAATATATAGTCCTATCTATAGCATTTTTTTCACTAGGAACATTTAAGCTCATAAATTATTTTTTTCCTCTTTTTGGAAATCTACTAACTATTTGGCAAAGATCATTTTTCTTCCCTTATAGATGAGCCAATGTTTCATTCATAAGTTTTATTCTTCACAAAATGTCTCCATTCTAATTGTTTGGAGGAATTAATTTTTTGGTACAACTTTTGTCTAGAGTGTTAAAATTAAAGAAGTTTCAGCCAGATGCCTTCTTATTTAAGACAAGACACTTCTAAAGCACATATAGTTAGTGTATAAAACACTAGCAATTGTCCCTTATATTTAATTTAAAACATTGAAACAAAATTGATAACAAGTAACAGTGGTATAAACCCCACACTTGAGAAACACAGCTGTTTCCATTTCATGTGAGTCTTTTTTAAAGATATTATTTGTTTGTTTGTTTATTGGGTGTGAAAGCAGGGGGAAAGGCAGAGGCAGGAGAGATAGAATCTTTTTTAAAACAATTTTTAAAAATTTTTATTAACATATAATGTATTATTAGCCCCAGGGGTACAGGTCTGTGAATCATCAGGTTTACACACTTCACAGCACTCACCATAGCACATACCTTCCCCAATGTCCATAACACAACCACCGCCCCCCCGAACAAACCTCATTTTGTTTTGTGAGATTAAGAGAGGAGAGACAGAATCTTAGGCAGGCTCCATGCCCAGCATGGAGCCCAATGACTGTGAGATCATGACTTGAGCTGAAATCATGAGCCAGAAGGTTAACTGACTGAGCCACCCAGGAGCTCCATCATCTGATTCTTTTTAAGTGACCGTCTAAAACAATTATTGATGCTTACCTTGTTTCTTTGATAGTTTTAAGAAAATGAGCTCAGAAGGTAAGCAATTTACCAAGGTCTACAAAAAGCATTTTGGCTTGTATTTCAACCTAACTGTCTTGACTCTGGGTCCCATTTTTCCCCCTTTGCATTAATTTGTTAAATATTACTTACTGAGTGATACTATATGCTAACCAGGCTCTGTATTATACATGTGGTATCTTTGTGGGGGAGGCAGAAACACAAATGAAAAATTACAAAGCAATTACGAAAAGTTCTGTAAAATTAGTAAGAAGAAAGAGATGTCAGCTTCACTGATGGGGGCGGGGGAAGGGCAGGGTTGCCAGGGAAACTTCCTAGAAGAGGCAATGTTTGAATTGGACTTTAAAGGATATTAAGTTTTCTCCAGAAAAAGAGAAGTAAGTGGTAGGAGAAGAGTATCCTGGGCAAAGGAAGAGCCTGTGAAAATACAATTGGGGCATGTAACAAATTTTGTGAGTAGGAAATGGCAGATGGATCTGCTTCACTACAAGGAGGGTTTTATATGATCTAGGGTCAGAGAGGTGAGGGCTGGCAGATGGAACAGCAGGAAAGGCTTATTATATGCACTATAGTGGTAATGTGGAACTCTTGATGAAAGTTTTAAGCAAAGGGTTGATGGTCTAGCTTTGTGGTTTAGAGAGAGATGCCTTATTTACCCAATTTCATTTAATCTTCCAGCATCCTATAAGTTGTATTATTAGCACCTTTTTGGGGGATGAGGCATCTAAGGAGTGGAGTGACTTGTCCAGGGTCACATAATTTGTGATTTGTTGTGGAAACTGAGCCCAGGCTTGTCTGACTCTAAAGTCTGGGTTCTAAGCACAGGTGGGCAGATTAATTTAGGGAGGAAGAGAGAACATGGTGGAGGTGAAATGGTGGTGGTGTTCTTTGTTTAGAAGTAAAGAATAGGGGAACAGAGATTTGATGTGAGTATGTGGTCTTTGAGGTGACTACAGAACAGTCAGGTGATGTCTGGAATCAGCAGACAGTCTCCAGAATGAAGCATCATTATCTTTCGCCTCCCAGGACACTTCATATACCTGAAAATGGCACTTATATCAACTTTCTGTCTGCTGTTGACTGAACTCGGATGTGTGTATGTGCGTGTGTTTTGTGAGAAGAAACATCTTCATAATTTCCTCATCCTTTTTTATTGTACTGGATTCACTTATTTAGAATGAAAGGAACAGAAAGTACTTTTGTCCTGCTGTACTTCTGTGCAAATATCTCAAAGCTTTTATGCAGCAGTCTGAGAGCTTAACAAACTTCTGAAAAGGGAAGAATTTTGCCTTGTGCTTTATAAGAAGTGAGGTGCTGGGTTTGTTTGTTTGTTTGTTTGTTTTTTCAGATATTCACTACAGCTTTCTGGTCATTTCTGGCAATATATATTAGAGTGTTGTCATTTTATTTTTCTGTGAGTGGCCATCACTTATATAATCAAAGGGGGATCACGGACAGTATATAAGAGAGTTTTAGTATCTAGAAATGGCAGGGGCAACTACCCATGAGGCAACTGATAATAAATATTGCCCATCCCAGGGGCATCACTGGAACATGCTGGAAACATCCAGTATTCACAGTGCACCAGGGTGTAGGTTGCAAGGCTCACAGAACACCTGGGTAATGTTAGCATAGTCATGTAATCATGAAGCACCAGGTAATATTGCTAGGAATGGGCTGGAATGTAGATACTAAAAACTTAGGTCTGTGGAAATAGGAATAGATTCTTATTTGATAAATACATGAACTGAGCTGACTGACATGGAAACAATATGTTTTTTTCTCCCTGCTGTTTCCATTTGCAGGTTTCGGCATGGAGGCAACCTTGCTCCTGGTGGTTGGCTTTTCCCACACCAAAGGGGTGGCCATCTCCTTTCTGGTGCTTGCTGTAGGATTTAGCGGCTTTGCTATTTCAGGTGAAGTGTCCTTTCATTTTCCAAATATTTTCTACAGATTCAGTAAGTCTTGGGAGGAAGGAAGAGAAAAGGAATATTCTATCACTTTCCTTTAGTAGCCAAGCCATTCTCAGGGAACAGGCTCTGGGCTAGAGAGTTTCATCATGTGGGAATGATAACCCCCCTGAGCCATGGGCAGAGGCACAAGCACATGCCCCAGATGAAGTGGTCCCTTCATACTTCAAGACCAGGTCACCCCTTCTCATAGAAGCTCTTGTAAAATTTTCGATTTTCATCTCTAACTAGAGAATGGCTAATATTAGCTCAAAAGTCAGGTTATATAGTCATTTGACATCATGTTATAAAATCCAAAGTTTTTTTTTTTTTTTTTTAGAGGGGAAAAGTCTTTAGATTTTGTCTTCTCCATAGCTTTCGGTTTCTAAAGAAGGAAATGCAGGTCTAGAGAGGGGAAGTGACTTTCCTAACAGGCGAGAGTAAGTACTAAGAATAATAATGATGCTAGTAAGAGCTAACCTTGACCAAGTGCAGACTCTGTTCCTGTGACTGTTCAAAGCCCTCTGTGAAATTCTCACACTACCCAAGGTGGCCTGAGTCTGTCTCCACATTTCACAGGAGTGAAGACCAGTCTACTTAGGGTGTGTGAGAGGCCAGGGCACTGTTATATCATGTCTTTGGGCTTCAGAAGCTCCCTAGGCACAACTGGACAAAAGAGTAAAATTCAGTTGTTCTCCTACTTTAAACCAGACTGTCACCCTGGCAGTGATCACCTACTGGACACTTTACACAGATGATGTGTATGTCACAACACTTTGAAGCAAGTAGGTAACATCACTAGTTTACTGAGGAGGTACCTAAAACTCAGAAAAATCAGATCTTTTTCTTTTGTCATATAGTTGGTAGCAAAGGAAGAAGTAAAGTGTAGTTCTGTCTGGCTCCAAGCCTGTGCTCTTTCTGCTGTTCTAGGCTGCCTGAAAGATCAGAGTAAGAATATCCCAGAACAGAAAAATATGGAACCTCTGATAGTTTTTTAAACCATCGTAAAATAAAGCCTTGATCTTTTCAAAGTAAATAGAGCTGTTGGACAGTGAAATTGGAGGCAGGGGGGTCTATTTTAAAAGTAACATGCAGCTAAGAAATTGGGTTTGGAGGTGCATAGACCTGATTTTGAGGCCTCTCTTTACTATTTGCTATTTATAAAAGAAAAAATGCTAAGTTATTTTATAAAAGAAAAAATGCTAAGTTATTTAAATTCTCAAGCCCTGGTTTCCTCACCTAGAAATTGGAGAGGTATAATGGCAACCTCACAGCGGTTGTTGGGAGATGGCCATGAACTTGAGATAATTCATGCATTCACTTACATTTCCTATGAGCCAGGTGCTGTTGGCAGCAGGAGGGAGAGTATAGCAGAAAAAAAAAATCATATGGCATCCTCATAAAGTTTACATTCTGGTAGAAATAAAGCATTTGAAACCCTTAGTCCAGTGCCAGATACACAACAAAATTAACAAGTATTTACTATTGTGAATTGTGTTGTTGAGTCATTATTCATTCACTTTAGCCCAGGACTTCTCAAATTTTGATGTACATACAAACCACCCCAGAATCTTGCCAAATGCAGATTCTGATTCAGCCCAAGATTCAGCATTTCCAACAAGCTCCCCAGCACTGCTGATGCTGCTGATCTATGGTCTATACTTTGAGTAGCAAAGATAAAGCCATCATGACTTGTTTCCAGTAGATGTGGAACACCTTTCTCTGATAGCCCTGTGATGCAAAAGGGATTCATATCCTGTGTCCAGAGATAATAAAATATTTAGGCTCACATTGTTCCTGGATTGGCAATTACACCATGATTGGAAGGAGACAAACCTAATATACCAAAAAACAGCACCTGCTTGCTTTCTTTCTTTCTCTTTCTTTCTTTCTTTCTTTCTTTTTGACAACCCAGTGAGAAGGATATTGCTATATCCATTTTACTAGTGAGGAAAGCAGAGTTTAGAAAGGTGACTTAACTTGCTCATGTAAATTGAACAGCTGGGATTGGAAAAATGGTTTACCTGACCCAGCAGTGACACTGTGGGAGGGACAAGGGCCCTGGGAACAATGATTCCTCAGCATCTTCTATCTACCCACTTTATAAGGAGTTCATAGGGATGCCAGGGATGATGGTACCATTCAGGAACTGATTATCAACAAGAGAGCTGACATAGGTGGGATTAGGAAGATACAGGGATGGGTGATCCTTATTTTGAGAAATGTCCTATGTAGAGAAGACAGACTCTCCTAGCTTGTGTGCTTTTTTTTTTTTTTTTTTTTTTTTTTTTTTGGTATCCACTACAGTATCCCAGTTTCTCAATGATCTTTTTCTCCTAAACACCAGGGTTGTGCAGCTAGAAATCTAAATGGCTTTTCTCACATTATCTTTAGCTGAACACAGATGCCTAGGCTTTGTATCAGAATATAATACTCAACGATCATACTAATTGCTTCTTATCTCTGGGTTCTTTTCTAATAAAGTGTTTATCACTTTCAAATCAACAGTAAGATTAATTAATCTTGCAGCTGTTTTATATTCTGATTGTCTGCCACTTTGATCTGAAAGAGAAGGTATATTTATTACAAAAAAGGTTTTCTCAAAATTCTCCCTGAATTGGAGGTAGGGAAAAACAACCAATATGCCAGATTAGGGCAAAAAAAATTTTTTTTAAATCCTATTTTCAGGTTCTTTGCACAGAATAGAGAATTAAAAAGCAAGGCAAAGAAAAACAAAAACATGAATAAGCAAAACCTACAATCTCTTGCAGTAATTTCAATGGCTCAAATGCATAATTAATTATTTATCAAGTGCATACTATGTACCAGACACTTTGCCTGTTCAGGTAAGATAGTGGTAAACAAGACAGATGGATAACCAGCCATAAAGAACGTTCATGTTGGTTTTCACTTCTACGTACCATGTCCTTAGCATACATTATTTAAGTTAATTCTCACAATTTTATAAGAATGATTATGCCAGCCGATAGAGGAAGAAACAGAGGTCCAGAACGTTTAAATCCTTTGTCCACGTTTGCATCTCAATGTGCAAGAGGCAGGTCTTTCTGACTCCAGAATGCTCACCTGGGCAACACTAGTAGAACCTGTTCCAAGGGCAGGCGGCCTCCTCCTTCGGAGCCTAGCCCCTTCCCCTGCCTTAGCTCTTCCCCCTTAATTCCATTCATTCATTTTTTTATTTTTTAAAGATTTTATTTATTTATTTGAAAGACAGAGCATGAGCAGAGGGAGTGGCAGAAGGAGAGGGAGAAGCAGGCTCCCCATTGAGCAGGGAGTTTGGGCTCCATCCCAGGACCCTGGGATTCTGAGCTCAAGGCAGGTGCTTAACCGACTAAGCCACCCATTCATTCCTCTCTCTGGATAAATAGTGAGGTGTTGGCATCTTATTGTTTTACCATTCCCAGGAGCATTATCATCCCATAGAAGAACTCAGAGAGAGGGAGATGCTCAGCCTGGCAGCTGCAGTGGGTGGTGTCCTTGTGGTGGTAGCAGTGCTGGTTAGCAGAGCTTAGCTGCTTGCCAAGGGCTCTTGCGTACATATTTCCTGAGGCTCATCTCACAGCATCTTTAGGAGTTAAGTAGTCATTTTACCCTCATATTAGAGAGGGGAAAACAAAGCCCTAAAACTTATGTAAGTGGTGAAAATAAGATTCAAATCCAGATTTACAAACTCCAAATCAAGTATGTATGTGAGAGTCTTTTGCAAGTTACAGAGGATTCTGCCAATGTTTGTGCAAATATTTGTTATCAAAAAAGGACCTTTTCCATTGTGTCATATGGCCACCAAGACAGGCTCACCTCCCGTGACCTTTTGGGAGTGAGTTAAGGACTAGGAGGGAGGGTTTTATAAGGCTAGGTTTGGTTCTAATCATACTCTGAGTAAACGTGCTCCTTTCGATTTTTTCAGTATTGCTCCAAAACACTGTTATTTTGGAGTTCCACCTAGGAGCACAGGTGTCACAATTCTCTCCATGGAGAACCCATGGGAGCTATTGCTGGTCAGTCACAGTTCATTTTTCTGCTACGTGCAGGCACGCCTGACAATTCTCAACCCAGCTGTGTCAGGAGAGGTGTTCATTAGTCATATGGTAGAGGAAGCCAAATAGATTGGTGAGAGTTAGGAAAAGCTGTGTTGTTACCAAAATGTTCTTGACTCTGATTTTGAGACTTTGGCTTCACTTTAGGTTTTAACGTCAACCACCTGGACATTGCCCCCCGCTATGCCAGCATTCTCATGGGGATCTCAAATGGAGTGGGGACCCTCTCTGGAATGGTCTGTCCCCTCATTGTTGGTGCAATGACCAAGCACAAGGTAATGGTCTCCTTTGGGACTCTGGGTTGCAGTATCAGAGGACTGAACTACTGTGCAAACTTGAGATCTCAAGGCCCTACCCCAGCCTGTAAATGTGTATGTCTTTGACCTTGGCTGAGTCATTTGAACTTTTTTCCTCCTCCTCCTTTTTTTTTTTTTTAATTATTGTTTATTTATGGCAAGAAGGTTGATTGAGGTTTGGTTCCACATTTCCTCAAGGGGTGTGTGTTGCGGGGGGTGGGGGAGAGAAATGAACATCATAGGGACCATTTAGAGACACAAAGAAGAAACTGAGGTGATCAACTCAGGATAAATAATTGACCCAAGATTGTTTTATAATTCTAAGTAATTAAACTTTATAGCCTATTCCCATCTATTACTTAGCATGTTCCAGTGTAAAGATATTAGTGTTGTTATACTTCCTTATTATGAAGAAAATGAACAATACATTAATGACCTTTTCTAAGAACCTTCAAGGGTGGGGCACTCAGTCATAACTGAACCTTTGTGTATTTAGAGGAGGGCGGGTAGTAGAGGAAGATCCCAGACTATCCAGAGTTCAACCAGAGGCCACATGATTTCTTAATCCCTGTCACTGAAAAGGTTTTAGGATGCTGCTTTGCACAAATAAAAATTTTCTGATTCTATGGAGTTTTTACCTGACTTTTCTTAGTTAGATTGCCTATTACTAATATGATTTTAGAAAGTCAGCTTCTTGGAGAAAAAAATGTAGGTTAACTTTTCTTCTTCTTCTTCTTCTTCTTCTTCTTCTTTAATAGAAAAGGAAGGTGGGATTTGGGGGTTTTATAGGCAGAAGTTCTTTGTTTTCCCTCTCTGTTCATGAGATTGTGGGATGGGTAACTTGACCACTAAATCTCAGATAATGACTTCACCTAACTTTAAACACAAATTCCCATTATTTTTCGATTTACCGTATCTTACACAGATAATATGATTAAAGTAAGCTATTGACAGTCAAGAGTGTGCAATTTCATAATTCAAATATTGTTATGTATCCAACAGCAAGCAAGAGGGAGACCTCTGATATTTAAAATGGTGGGTTCCTAAAGCAAGTTTAATGTAACCTACCATATGAATGGAAACCCCATTTGTATATTTAAAAGACCTGTGAAATGGTGCTGCATGTATTTTTACATATTATTTATTTTAATTATTATTTTTTTATTTTTATTTTTTAAAAAGGTTTTATTTATTTATTTGAGAGGAAGAGAGAGCATGAGAGAGAGAGAGAGAGATCACGAGCAGTGGGGAGGAGTAGAAGGAGAAGCAGGCTTCCTGCTGGGCAGGGAGCCCAACAATAGACTCAATCCTAGGACCCTGGGATCATGACCTGAGCCAAAGGCAGATGCCTAACCTATTGAGCCACCCAGTCTCCCCCATATTGTTTATTTTAAAAAGTAGTTGTCTAAATTAAAAAATGCACATTCATGGTTGTCTCTAATTTCTGTATTCACTGTTGTGTTAATTTTCATTTCTTAAACATGCAAATTCTGTTTGGCTCCTGGGCTGGCTTCTGCCACACACCTTCCCTAGAAGCACAGCATTGCAGTTGGTTGTGGGCGGAGATTTTGTCCCCGTGGAAGCTTCTAGAACAAACTGTTAATCTCTATTTTTGGTTAAAACACATTAATTGTTACTATATTTCCTTGTCTAGACCCGTGAGGAATGGCAGAATGTGTTTCTTATAGCTGCTCTGGTGCACTACAGTGGTGTGATCTTCTATGGAGTCTTTGCTTCAGGGGAGAAACAGGAGTGGGCTGACCCTGAGAATCTCTCTGAGGAGAAGTGTGGGATCATTGACCAAGATGAATTAGCCGAGGAGACAGAACTCAACCATGAGAGTTTTGCAAGTCCCAAAAAGAAGATGTCTTATGGTGCCACCACCCAGAATTGTGAAGTCCAGAAGAAATGGAGAGGACAGAGGGGAGTGACCCTTGATGAAGAAGAGCTGACATCCTACCAGAATGAAGAGAGAAACTTCTCAGATTCAGCCTAAAGTCTGAGGGGCACTTCCATCTTCTCCTTACATAGAGTCAGAAAGTATCCATACCTATTGCCTTCCCCATAGCCCGGCTTGCTAGAGGGTCAAATATGGTGATACTGGAGGTTGGGGGTGGTGGGGGGAGGAGAGGAAATCTAATCAGCAATAGAGAAAGAAAGGAAAATATCTTGCAATGACATGTTAGGGTATGGAGCTCACTCTCAGTTGACAAAATGGTGATAAATATATAATTTTTTGGATTGGCAGTTGGCTCTTCTCAAAGAAGTGTTCTGAAAGTTCAGTTCAAAGTTCAGTTCTCAAAGTACTGAACTTATTCAGGAAGGAATGACTAGAAGAATAAGGGAGACAGTACCAAGCTGTTCAAAGAAAAACCAAAGGAACTGAGACTATTTGGCCTGGAGCAAAGAAAGCAGTAGCTGTCTCTACGTTTCTGAGGGCAGCCATGCAGAAGAGGGTTTCCTATTCCCAATAAAGGCCACTGCTCATGGAGGTCCTGCATTGTGCCAGGTGCTTTATAAACATTCTCATTTAATCCCCACACTGCTACGACATATTTCTTGCCTTCATTTTACAGCTAAGGAAGCTAAAGCAACAAGATATTGATTTGCCCAAGGGCCAGGACTGAGATTGGTGCAGTCCAAAACAGGTGGCAGTTTTGGGGAAGAAGTTTTCACCTCAGTGTAGAGAAGACTTTTTTTTTTTTAAATAATGAAAACTGAAACTTGACAGGGTTGTCTTGGGAATAATTCCCTATTTTGGCAGACATGGGGGATGGGAAACATCTGGTTTGGTGTGAAAGCATTGCCATTGTATGAGGCGCTGGATTCAAAGATCCTGAGTTTGGAGAGAGGTTAAAACATAACAAAGAGAAGAAAGGAGAAAGAAAAGAAAAAAAAAAAAAGAAAGAAAAGGATAAAAGCTAAATAAGATAGCCATATTTTCAGGAATCTGATGTCCAGAATGGCTGAGAGGAAGTAAGCAAAGGGTTGGCTAAATTTTGACCCTTCATGGCATCAAGAATTTAGTTAAATAAATAATGCCCCAAATTACTTATACATCTTTAAGACATTCAATAATTTAAGAAGTAGGTTCATGTGTTTTATTAGGTAAAATTCTCTTGGAAGAGTCTTCTGTTTTAAAAAAATGTGTATCTTTAGCCATTTCTGCTAGTGATATTTGGAAGTTTGATTAAACTATGCACAACTATGGTTGAAGTATTCCTAATGATTGTATTTGGAATGTTATTGGGAAAAACCAAAATAACATAATAGTAATTATATAGGGAAATGAAATGAAAGCATGAATGAAAGCACCTGTAACAACTAGACCTATAGCTAATCTTGAAAAATTCATCTTTGATCACATAAGGCAATAACATGGATACTCTCTAGATATATTTTAAAATCTAATGTTATTTTAAAATTTAAAGTTGGCATGTAAGGTACTGTTTGAAAATAAAATTGTTTTCTTGTTCATTGGTTTTGAAAATTTTGTTTCTACTTTCAGAAGAAAAATATAATGTCAAAGAAAAATTATAGATTTAGTTGTAGTTTATTATAAAGTGTTTTTTGTAAGTTATACCATGTACATTTCTTGTTGCTAGTTGTATCAGCAGAGTTGCAAAAGGGTAATTTTGAGAGAAAAAAAGAATTGTCTGACTCTCTAGTAAATAATATCCTGTATATCATTGGTATATAATTTATGTTATCTTATATCTTTAAATCTCTTTAATGAGTGAATGCATGTAAGTCCCATACAACAGTTCCTGGCATGTAGAAAGTGCTCAATAAATATTAACTATTATCATCATTATCATCCTGCAACCTTTCTGGGAACTTTTCAGTTGAAAAGAAAGCATACCATATACTTCTCATCCATCAGCCATAGAATTTGTTGTGAAGGTTGTGTTGTTTTCTAAGTTAAAAAAAGAGAGAGAGAGAAATTTACAGTAGCTAGTGTTTTATTTTTTCTTCTGTTAATAAACTCAAATAACTTTTAAAAAACTCATGATAATCCTTGAGGTAATATTGAAGATCTCAATACAAAGCTATATTTGCTCCATCAATTTAGAGTCAATGTCATATGCAGAAATCCCACATTTTGAGAAATCAAAGCATTTAAGGTGCCTGTAACTTGCCCTTCTAATATTAAAGAAAGAAAAAAGAATGGAGCCCTGGATCATTGTGTTGAAAATGAAAACACATTATTTTGTTGTGTTGGGTTCTGCAAAGATTGCATTGCACAGATTATTACATTCAAACACCAGACAGATGCAGTTTTAGTCCATGTATATTTTGCTGCAAATATCCATTTGTAGGTTAACCCAGGAAACAAACTGTAAATTCAGCAGAAGGGATGGGAAAGCCTGAAGTGTTGGATTCTTGAGACAAGAAAGGTTTGACTTTTTGTAAAGAATGCAACTCTTGGAAGACTCCTAAATATGACTAAAAAAATTATTCAAGAAATCAAGACACATTTGTTATCCCTCTATGGATGTGAAGTTCAACAGGTAAGAACTGAAATGTGCTGTTTATCTTTCACACTGCCTCCTTCTGACCCCAACACACCTGTTCTTCTTCTGTCTCTGTTTCTTTTCTCAGCTAATCACATCACTCTTTGCTGGAGCTAGGAATCTTGGAGTCATTTTTGACTTTTAAAAAAGTAATTCTTTCTCTCTCTCTTCCCCGCCAAATCTATTTAATTTTATTTGCAGTCTGTGATCAATGTCTTACATTGGTTTTGGAAAAATTTCAGCTGTTTTCTCTTCTGATACTGCTTTTGCTTCACCTGTGTGCAATTTCTAAGGGTCCAGCTAAATGGATGCTGGACAGGATGTGGGACAGTCTTTTCCGTATCTCTTCTACGTTTTCTATATTTTCTAGACTTTTTCCTCTTTCTGTGTCATTCTGGATATCTTCTGATTTTTTAAAGTTCTTTATTTCTCTCTTCAGCAAGGTCTAATCTGGTAAAAAGAAATCCATTTTGTTGTTCATTTTAGTTACTGTATTTTCAGTTTGAGAATTTTATTGATTCTTTCAAAGTTCTACTATGTCTTCTGAGAAATATTTCTAGTTCTCTGCTGAAATTTTCAATCCTGTATTTTATTTCCTGGAACACAGTAAGCTAATTATTTTGAAGTCTATTCAGTGCCAATATCTGGAGACCATGTAATTCTGTTTCTATTTTCTGTGGGTTTTGCTGATTCTTGTTCAAATTATCTTATCTTGGTCTGTACTTGGTTTTCCCTGTATCCAAAATTGTATTTGAAAAATTATTTGGGGGCACCTGGGTGGCTCAGTGGGTTAAAGCCTCTGTCTGCGGCTCAGGTCATGATCCCAGGGTCCTGGGATCAAGCCCCGCATCAGGCTCTCTGCTCAGCGGGGAGCCTGCTTCTTCCTCTCTCTCTCTCTGCCTGCCTCTCTGCCTACTTATGATCTCTGTCTGTCAAATAAATAAAAAATAAATAAATTAATTAATTAAAAAAAAAGAAAGAAAAATTATTTGTAGAGGGGCACCTGGGTGGCTTAGTTGGTTAAGTGTCTGGCTATTGGTTTCAGCTTAGGTCATGATCTTGGGGTCATGGGATCACCTAGGGCTTCACACTCAGAGGGATGTCAGCTTGAGATTTTCTCTCCTTCTCCCTCTGCCCTTCCCCCAATCATGCTTGCTCTTGTTCCCTCTCTAAAATGAATAAATAAATAAATCTTGGGGGGGAAAAAAAAAGAAAAATTGTTTGTAGAAATGATTTTAGGTTTAAAATAATGCCTTTTTTCCTTTCTCTGTCCAGAAAGGATTTTTGGTTGTTTTTTTCCAAGAGCCCAGAGAGTTTCCAGTTGTGAAATCTGAGATCTTCTGGGCCACCCAGATGACTCAAAGCTGGGCTACCGGCAGCATGAAGGCTCTTTTACTCTCATTTCAACTTCATTCCTAGATTATAGAACATCAAGGTCTCAACCCACACTGCTGTGCATTACTGTGGGTCTATACCAAGCCCTCAAACTGCTCAGCTATCAAGCACTGGCTTTGTTATAATTAACAAATGCTCCCAGGAGAAAAGTGGCCTCAAATGCCAGGCTCACTTCTCAGGATTTTTGTCTTCACCAAGATGGCCAGATGGTAGCCAGGAAACTTTTCACTTCTATGCTGACTCTCCAATGCTGTTGAACAGACACTAAAAAAGACATCCCCCCCACCCCAGCTTTTCTAGTGTGAAGGTTCACCTGAACTAAGTAGCCTGTCATTAATGGACGATGAAGTCCTTTTTATTTTCACAAATTCTCTTGAACAGATTTATCTCTCTAGAAATAGTGTGGTAATAAACCTCAAATCTCAGCGGCTTAATAGAGCAAATGTTGGTTTCTCTCTGATGTTGCTAATCGAGTGTGGGTTTAGTTGGGTGGCCCGGAAGCTTGTTTCAGACACTCACTCAGGTATCTAGGATTTGTCTTTTTCTCCACTCACATCTTACAGTTCACCATTTGGAACATATGACTTCTGTTATCACCATGCAAAGGGGAAGGAAGGCACATTGGCTATTTACTGCCTCACTTGGATATGACACTGTCATTTCTTTTCTTTTTTTTTTTTTAATTTTTTATTTTATTTTATTACTTATTTTTATTAACATATAACATATTATTTGGCCCAGGAGTAGAGGTCTGTGAATCATCAGGCTTACACACTTCACAGCACTCCCCATAGCACCTACCCTCCTCAATACCCATAATCCAACCACCCTCTTCATACCCCCTCCCCCCAGAAACCCCTCAGTTTGTTTTGTGAGATTAAGAGTCTCTTATGGTTTTTCTCCCTCCTGATCTCATCTTGTTTCATTTTTTCCTTCCCTAGCCCCGAAACCTCCCACTCTGCCTCTCAAATTCCCCATATTAGGGAGATCATATCATAATTGTCTTTCTCTGACTGACTTATTTTGCTTAGCATAATACCCTCTAGTTCCATCCACATTGTTGCAAATGGCAAGAGTTCATTCCTTT